TATATATATATATATATATATATATATATATATATATATATATATATATATATATATATATATATATATATATATATATATATATATATATATTACCACACCTATCTATCTCTAACTATTTGAATATCCAATATTATATTGTTTTTTACATTTTATCTTCTATAATTTGCAAATACCTTTCTATTACCAACCTTGTCTTAAACCAACCTTTTATCCTGTATCCATACTTTTTATCTTTCATACTATTTACATCTCCACCTTTATTTTTTCTCTTATCTTTCTTACCTACAACTTTATTTTTTCATGTTCAAGCTATATTAAGAGATATTAGATGCATTTAAACTAAATATAGCTACTTGAATTACTCAAATAGAGAGAAAAAGTTACACACAAATCTTAATTGTTTTGGTCCTACGACTGTAAATAGTCATTTTATTAATGTTGTAAGAAAATATGAAGTAGAAACCTTAAAATGCATTATGTTTCGTTTCCAATTTTTTTATTTATGTTAGGGAATATCAAGGTTTAGCAAGAATTATCAAGTTCGATTACCATTTGGAATGTATTTGACAAGTGCCTGGTTAAATTCTTAAATGAAACAGAAGAAGTCGCATCTTCTTCCTTTGTCTCTCTCTTTATCTCTCTCTCTCTTTTGTGTATGCACTAGAGAAAACTATGGCTGCGTTCGAGGAGACGCTATTTAGCGCTATGAGTGTGCTCTGTCCTTGTTTGTTTTTGAAAGTTGAACAAGAACAGAGGACGCTCATAGCGCTAAATAGCGTCTCCCCGACCGCAGCCTATGAATTAGGCTTGGTTCGATAAACCATATGGCTCGGTGTATCGCTCGCATCGATAATTAGTACAAAGTCTCCGTGTCTCCATTTTTCTCCGAGAGGCCAACTTGAAATAATTCACGCGCCTCCACCAGTGAAAATGTTTTTTATTGCGAACGGCCGGCACGCGCGTGCGGCAGAAGTTACTTTTGGAATCATTACCGCGACACGAACCACGTAACGGTATTATATTATTTTACTCCATAAGAGTGCGCGCTGTTTACACCGGCCTCGGCGAAACCACCTCGTAATGCCACGGGACGCGGTGCAAGAAGGTGCGTGTGAGAGCGTCGAGTATACGCACACGCGCGCGCGTGCATCGTCCTGGGTTGTCGTCCGTTCTTTTTTACACGGTGAGGAATCGGGGCCCCGAGGCCCCGCGACGAAGGTAAGGTGGCCCGAGCCATCTGCCCTCGGATTGCGGCCCTGCCGAGGAGGGCAAGCGAAGGAGCGAGAAAACGAGAGAAGGAACGCGAGGGAAATAGAGAGAGAAAGATAGAGGGAGGGAGGGAGAGAGACGAATAAAAATCAGGCCCCGAAAGCGTTACCCAGCTGGCACGCGTCTACCTCGCAGCCATTATCGTTAAACAGGATCACATCGCGAGGACTCCGACGAGGATTTCTTCTTCTATCCTCTCCTCCTCCGCTCTACAGTCGTCTCTTTCCTTTGCCGTCCCTCCACGTCCCACCACCTCCCCGCGAAGCCGCTCTCTTCCTTAAGTCGCTCGTATTACTCTTGCTGCTCGGAAGCACCTGCCGCCACCATGCCGGTGTTTTCGTCCTGAGGATACCTCACGCACAACACAAGGCTGGTCGGACACCGTGGACTTGCGAAAAAATTACTTGCGAATCGCGAATGGAAATCGTGCGAGGGCGGTCGATTTGTTTTCCTCTCGGACACACTACATAAGTAATGACTTGCGTGCAACAGGATCGATGTTGATTCATATTGATGGATTTATCGTTCCTATCGTTGATATAGATATTAGGGAATAGATTAGCGATAGGTAATTTTTTAATAAAAATTGTTTTTTTTTATATTAGGATCGATTTGTTTAATAAATCGAATACCACGGTGTAGTATAATTAGCTATAATGTATACATAATTATAATAATATAATTATAATTATATAAAATATTATAATATTATTTTTATAATTACTTATAATTATATATTTTTTTGCTACACACAAGGAAAATTATTTATTATTTATCATTGTTTATACACTGAGAAAAAATTTACTAAATTTCATAAAACTTTTGTTTGAATAGTACTGTGAAGATATTTGTTTAAATTAAGTAATTATTATTTATTTAAATTAAGTAATTATTTTCTAAAATTAAAGAAACATTTATATTTAAAACTTCTTTATTTAATTTTAGAAAATAATTACTTAATTTAAATAAATATCTTCACAGTACTATCCAAACAAACGTTTTTTGAAATTTAGTAAATTTTTTTCTCAGTGTATCTTATTTTTAACGTAACGATATTACGTAATAATATTACTATAGTACATCATAAGAATATCAGAACGCACATTACACTGCATTTACTACTTATCGCATACTTTTTACATCGCCACTGCACCGAATTATACTGAGGGAGGAACGACCTCAAAGTCAGCAACGTGATTCATTCTGACGATAGCATCGGTTTTTCTTATTGGCCGACCCGCATAATTCCACCGATCGCGAGACTCGCCGATTATCGAATTCTTCGTTCTTTCCCTCCTCTTTACTTTCGTTCTTCTTCGCTTTATATATCCGTCAGATTACTTAGCTAAAAGAGGAAAAATATTTTGGTCACCCGCGAACATACGTTTAATTTGGTTACACCTTTATGATTCTAAACGTAGGGATGAGAAAATGGCCACTGGACGCGGACCATAAATTCAACGACCGGACGGCTGGATTAAAAACGTATATTCGTGACTCTGATGCACTCGCGAAAGCTATGTAAGGCTTGGTATATAAAGGAGTTACGGGGGCAAGAGGAAGGAACGACAAAACTTATAATTATATATTTTTTTGCTACACACAAAGAAAATTATTTATTATTTATCATTGTTTATACACTGAGAAAAAATTTTATTAAATTTCAAAAAAACGTTTGTTTGGATAGTACTGTGAAGATATTTGTTTAAATTAAGTAATTATTATTTATTTAAATTAAGTAATTATTTTCTAAAAAGAAAAGGTCCGAAGAAACGATAAGAGCGGAATATCGTGTTTGATTCAAGCCACATCTACATATCTTGCCTGTCGTATGCATGGATCAGTAGTCTCTTGCGTGATATTTGATATGCTATCTGATATTTCGGCAAATGTTTTCGGGTATATGCTCTTCCAAATACATGTTCATGAATTTATACTGTCTTTTCATTTCACTTCTCAACACACAAATCTAACGAAATTTTTATTTTATGTCTCTATACTTGTGTATCAAATTTAACTTTTAAGTAGCTCTTAATATATAAGTCACAGAAACTAGGATCTAGTCAATCGGAAGACCGACTGCAAAATATTCATGCTAAATTTTGAAATTTTTAATATTTGACATTTAATACAAATGTAAATGAATAATTGTCACAACTTTTATGATTAATTGTAGAACACATCACTAGTTTTCGAGATGTGAGAATCTCTATCCACACACACATGAAGCTGCGCAATACGTTTCGTGCCGATTTCGACTATGAGTGACAGTTCGTCACAATTCAACAATCTGTAGTTTTCTATTATAAAATGATATCAGGAAATTTGCTCCAAATAATAAAAAAGGAAAATGAAATTATTCAGAAAGAAATTATTTACAAAAAGAAAACTTAGTGTGCCCGGATTGCAATAACAATTTCAATGTTATCTACAAATATTCTATAATCTTACTGTGGAATAAAATATGTTTTAGAATTCTCTGAGATGCATTTTAACCCTCAGAAACCGCACTATAATAGTCATCTTATTTTACCGCACTGGGTTACCTACATCCGATTTTCTTCTTTTACTTATATTTCGAAATCTAATGTATTAATTCTTTTTTTTTATCGATTTTCCAGATATTAAGGAAAAATAATGTCATTAAAAATGTCACAAAAATTCCAGAACTCAAAATATTTTGAAAGAAATAAGAAGAGATTTCTATAATAATTACGAAAAAATCATGCTTTTTATTTTTAATTATAAAATTGCTTCGAAAACAGATACGAGCATTTCAATATATAAAAATCTAAAGGATTTGATCTAAATTTTTCGAAAAAAAATACATTATTACCTATAGTTTAAAAAGAAATAATTATTTTACATATTTTAGCATGAGTAATTTTAAACTTTCATCAAATATATTATTAACTTGAAATATCAGGTTTTCCCTGGAAAATGATGTATTATGATTGTATATGTGTAAAAAAACTTTATTTGCTTAATATTAATATAAATATTAATATAATATTAATATAATATTAATATAATATTAATATAATATTAATATAATATTAATATAATATTAATATAAATAAATAAAACTTTGCACTAGTGAAGTATTATTACCCGCGATACTCCGACGTAATAACGTTGCTATCGCACTGGGTATACGTAACCCATAGACGAACTTCGCGCTTTCGTACAAAGTTATTTCGGACATATAGCCTTTCATTCACGATTTACGTATTACATTTTTCTCTGTCTTACTTTATGTCAACAAACAACTCTCGAATTTCCGTCTTTTTATTAGTGATGCGGTTTCGAGACTGCGCACGCAAACATTTTTCTCCTTTCACTTTAATATAAAAGAAAACGCACAAAACCTGTGAAAAATGGTTTTTGGTCAAATTGGCTGAAATTTTACTATGTTATAGTATGTTATACTATGTTATTTTACTATGTTATAGTTTTCGCCATGCTGATAAAAAGTTATTATTGCACTAAGTCCCAAAAGTCAACATTTCCCAAGATATAAAGGGTCAAAGTAGTGAAATATGGTCATCCGCAGTAGTAAGACGTATGTTATAAGTATAAGTGATATTTATATAATATATTAGTATATTATATAATATATTAGTATATAATAGTATTAGTATATAATTAGTATATAATTAGTATTAGTATATAATAGTATTAGTATATAATTAGTATATTATATAATATATTAGTATATAATATATTATATAATTTATATAATATATTAGTTTAATAATATTGCCAAAAAGATTTCTCTCAATTATGAGTGCAGCAATACTGTTGACACGACAGTATTTTCTTGCCATGCAAAGTGGTTTAACTTCAAGGTACGATCAGTACGATATCTCATTAACATTGACAGTTTACAAGATCATGCAGAAATAATTTATTGACCTTTCAACAGTGCATGCAGAACGAATGAATAATGAAACGGCGAGTTACGTATTAGCTCGAGGTATTCAAAGAGCGCCGCGAATGATTGCTAAAGTCCGCGGAAGGTCAAAGGATAAATTGGAAAACTTCGATGACCACCGTGGAATTTTAACGGTGAGCGTCCGTCTCACCATTAAATTTAAACGAAATCGGTCGTGAGGAGAAGTCGCACCGGCGAGTCCATTATTTCTTCGAGCGATTCTGAGCAACGACGTCCGCAATTACTCGCGATTTGTATCACGACGTGATATCTCGCGGCATCAGATAACATCCGCGAGAAACCGCGACCAATGTCCCGGCGTAATCCCATTTAAACGAACACCTCACCAAACAGGATACCGCTGCCAATACCCTCTTTATGCAAACAAAGAGGCAACACCTGGCAGAACGGCGCCCATCCTACGGATGTTTTTGCCGCGGCAGCACAGCGCCGCGTCGTTCGACTGCCACTGACCAAGTCGCAAAAGTTTAAATTGCCGACGTACACATTGTAAACTGACCACTTGTTAGTGTATACTCCCTCTCCCTCCCTTCGCTCTCTCTTTCTTTCAGTTTTCTTTCTCCTGCAGCCACCCGCCAGAGCCCCTCTGTCTGCTTTATTTTTACAGGCCGCCCTCATAGCACCGCGTGACGATAAATGGAGCCTCGCACATGATCCTTTTTCGGCCAATAACAGTTGGCGAACACGCGAAAAACACTGAAAAAACCGCACAAAGCCTGATACAATCAACGCGTGATAGGTTCGAGATAAAAAAAAAAAAAATATAATAAAAGAAGAGAGAGTGACAGAATGAGGAGGGTTGGAGGGAGGAAAAAGCGATGGCGACTCGAACATCGTCGCAATTTTGATAAAATAAAACATTAACTGGAAGAGACACCGCGAGAAATGAGAAATTATGGCGTTGCGTCAACGTCAACAGGAAGCAATTACTGTTTCCCCTCTGGATGAAGCGTTATTTCTTTTCCGTCAATTTGCTCGCGAAAAGTTACCGTGTGGTGCAAAAAAATTAATTTACTAGAGATTACCGGCGGTATACGTGTGCATACTAATGCTCATTATGGCTATTACCGCGACGTTTAGAAAGCACCATAGAAAGAGGAGGGCGTACTAGGTGGCGGCGGGACGCCGTGCGTTCGAGATCTGCGTATCTTTTTCGTTCCAGAGAGAGAAAAATAAACTTAGGGAGTTGCTCGATACTTCTTTCGACGCTTCTTCGCGTATTCCGATCAATTTATGTAATATATCTTTATTTTTTATTAAAAAAAAAACAACTTGATATCTTTAAGTATTTATGAATTATCGCAGCGAAACTAGCGCAAAATGCTATTTTGAGGAAATCGCGTTTAAAGATTGAGAATAACATTAAAGCTAAAGCAATGATAGGAAATCGGCTATATTCATTTTATCAAATGAAATAGCGATCTTTCTTTTTCTCTGAAGAGCAGATAAACAAATTCTATCCGTCTGAGATAGCGACAGTATAAAAGCGCGTCGCTATTTAATAGCGTCGCTACAAAATGACGCTTTCAGAATTAAAAAAATTCCAACTCGTTCTCCCGAAATCGCGACAAAACCGCAAAATTGAAGTTTTTCTTAAATTAACAATATCTCATTTAATGTTATTAACATTTTTTTAAATTACTAATGTTTATTTTATTCATAAAAATTTATTATTGCAAAGACTATTTATTTATTGCAAAATAAATTTATTACTAATTATTTATGCAAAATAAATTATTTATGCAAATAATTTATTTATTGCAAAAGACTAACTTTATGTATGTTAATTTATTTGTCCTCAATAGTCGTTCAAATATTACCAAATTTTCAATCTACTTGGTGCCCTTAAAGCAGCGTCGAACATATCATTATAAAGCGCAAGTCAGTCATGTAAGCGAAGCAAAATCGAAACATAAAGCGAATCATAAATCCAAAAGTGCATTTTAACTTTTATAAGTTATAAATCTACTATTATAAATTTACTATTTATGATAGTAGATTTATTTTATTTGAAATATACTCGGATACTTGGAATATTCTTATCTTACTTGTGAATTGTGTGGCTCTATTCCTCGATCGAGCTGTAAAATCCTTCACTCCGGTCCTCCAGTCCACAATTCCTCGACTCCGCTCCGTCTTTCATCCGCAGCTATCACAAACTCAGATTTTACTTGAATTCACCAACTTTACATACGTGAGTGTACAGTGGTTATCTTCCCGCCACTCTGTTCTCTACCCTTCGCTGGAAAAGCCGTGCAGGAATCGAATCTGATCGTCGCGAAATCGGCCAAGCGACCAGCTGCGAACAACCGCGTGCAGGTGCGTCCTTTCGCCGATGCGAGGCCGATTCCTTCGTACATGACGCGTTTCTCTGCTGCACGTCCGGAATTCCTCAAGGGCAATTAGGAAAATTCCGTTGCTTCTCTTATGAAGAGAGAGAACCTGGAACAGGTTGACAACGATGCTTATCAATCCACTGGAGCTTCCACCTATCCGCGATCCCTGGGTCTTGATAATGAATATGTTGAATCCTCATCCGACTCATGTAGACTCATGTAGCCGGATAGCCCCAAGTAGTGAAAAATGTGATATGGTGCAAAAGAGTTGAAGTCGAAGAAATCACACACATTAATAAAAAATATTCCCAAAAATCACACACAAAAATTGTCACTTTCAATATCACTTCAATGTACTTCACTCTCCTGCACGCATCTCCTGCATTACATTCTTCATATGTTGATGACACTTTTACCGTATTTATCCGTAATTTCACACAAACCACGCACATACACATCCGACACTGCATTCCTGTATCCTCCATTGTGTTGTTCTTTAATTTTGCTGTTTTTCCACTTTTTCACAATACGATCCGAATTCTAGTGCTACTGGCAGCGCCCACGTGGTGGCAAACCACGTGGAGATTGTGTCTACTTTATATTCAAGAACTCCATATTAAATAAGAATGATTGTTTTGCGATTTTAGAATGACTAAAAGACAAGCACTGATATTACTGTATTAGCGAATGTTGCAATAAACTTCTCTTTGAAGATATATTTATTATAAAAAAAATAAAGAAATTGTACTGTTGTAAAACATCGTGTTCATAAAATATATTACGGCATAAATGGTATATGTTACAATAAATATATAAATATACCTTATCGTTTCCAGTTATTCTTTCCATAGATTTTTTCATTATAAGTGAATAATAAATCATTATAAGTGAAAATAAAGAAAATGACACTAATGTGTAGCTTCATATTAGCCATATTGGAATATCGCCATTTTGAATTTAAACTATAGCCATCTACCTTTTTTAAGTAGAACCAACGAGGTAGTGCCTAAATCACCGACTATAAGCAAATTTTCGTCGCACGAAACCCGAACAACGGACCCCGAAGGGTCCGGAGATAAATTGCAGAAGGATGACATTATCGACAAGTTTTAGTTATCCGATGTGAGTACCTGGACACTCAGTGCATAATAAAATGTTAATCTTATAATTTATAGTTATCATAATGTTTTATCATTGTGTACAAAAATTTATAATTGTAAAACTACATTTATACAGTTATTATCAATGCCAATTTGATATAAAACTTACCGACGGTAGGTTATTAAATAAGTAGGTGGATTATTAAACATTTTTATTTTAAATCCCGTCTCAAATCGATAACTTTTAGGGTATATATTCATAGATATTTGAATTTTATATTTAAGATCATAGGATGCTGAATTACCAGTATCCGAATGCGGTCTCTAGGAATCTAAGTGCCACGAAAGATAGTGCCGACTACACCACATGGTTAAATTGAACATCATCGCGAAAAAAGAATATTATTTAGATTTCTAATAAAATATTGCGATAAGTTGTTAAATTTTTGTTAGCTACTAAGATGGTTTATAAATTATTTGTTAAGACGACTTTATAACAATGGGAAGACGTAGACTGCATCTCAAACGAGACAATAGCATATGTGAAAAGTTTTAATTGTTTCAATTGCAGTGATAAATTAATATCTGGCTGTTTATTTTCGAGAATTATTACTAAATTTTGTAAGCCAGTATTTTTTATAAGTACTGTGATTTTATTTCTTATCTTAGATTAAGTTAAATTACATAAAGCTATTTTGACAAATAGACGCTAAAATTTTATATTTAAAAATTTATTGAAATATTTTATTACTCACTGATAACTTTACAGATCTAATAAATAATATACTTTTTTGCTATACGTGATAATATTCCATTTGGTACATTGGACTACGTGGTAAAGTTGACCCTGTCCCTCGCAACGCTCAGGCACCTGGAGAAACCGGCACTGAAATTCGAAATTTGTTTATTACACACAAAACCTGTATCGAATAGTTAAAAACAACCGATAATATCATCTTTCTTAAATTATCTCTAGGTTCCATTTGTCTTTACAAAAATTTGCCCAGACCTGGTTCTCGACAGTATCGAATGAGATGCGCGTATGGAAATTCTGTAGTTCAATTCTATAGTTCTATCCTATAGTTGGTGTATCAATCAGCATGTTCTTTTTAGTTGCACTGCTGCAATAAGTTAGAGTGAGAAAAAATATATTTATCTTATTTCAACTTATTATACTAGTTCAGTAGTGCAGCTAAAAAAACAGACTAATTGATTTTCGCATACGTATTCACACATTGTCGAAAACTGGGTCCTTAATTGATGCTGCTAATTTACTTTTCTACCAAGATATGAATGCGCCCTTATAGTGCATTCGGTCGAAAATAGAAAGCACACACTTTTACATAAAGACATAATGCATAATGCATAAGAAAACTGACTAATCGGAGACATTATTTTCATCGTGGCAATAAAAATCAGAACTCTGATTAGTTCCTTACAGATTATGATTCATCATAGACCATAGACTTAGTATAGTGCGTGTTCTCAATGTTTCTTATAGTTTGAACGCGTTAGGAAAGAGAAAAAGATAGCATGCCATTCTGTCTTTCTTTAGCATCGTTAGAAAAAGATAAAATAGTGATCGAAAGTATGCTATCTCTTTCTATTCTTTGACGCCCGTTCAGCCCAATACGCAGTCTATGTATATTAAATATATGTATAGGCTTTGATTCACTTTCTTATGTTTTTTACACCATGGTGTAGTTTGAAACCGAACAAGAAATCTTGCCAGTACTTAACTAGTTGGTTGACGTAAAGGTGCCAATACATAGGAGCATTCCAGCGTCGAATGTTAAAGCGTTAACACTCAATCAACGTATCAGGTTCTAGAAGTATACTTGTAGTTCTTGCGGAAAGTGGCACGTCGATTGGCTACCGCTTTAACGTTCGACGCTCGATGCTCCCATATAAAAGTACCTTAAGTATACATGGCCGGTCTCACATCGTTTTGTTTCGTCCGTTAAAGCTGGCCACACATACTTTCCGTAACAGTAACAGTAAGACGTAACGTAAGAATTTATCAATTACGATGGAGTATTCATAAAAATGGCGACCTTATAATTCGATGATTCTCAACATGATTGATCAATTCTTACATTACGTCTTACGGTTACTGTTACGGAAAGTATGTGTGGCCAGCTTAACTTGACGTGAGACGTTACCACGTGTCTTGATACTAATGGATTATAGGTTATGTGTTATGTCTCTATGCAAGAGTGTGTTTCTCGCTGAATTTGCTATTAGTCGTGCTGTAAAATCACAAAACAATCAAATCACTATTTATTTCAACGTTCCTAAAAGTTAAATAATTGACTTTAATATAGACTTATATTAAAAAAATTTAATATAGATTTTAGATAGTATAGATTTAAAATATCGAGACTCAAGCGGACTCAAGCGGACTCAAGCGGACTCAAGCGGACTCAAGCGGACTCAAGCGGATTCAAGCGGATTTAAGCGGATTCAAGCGGATTTACGTGGACTTACATGAGACTCACGCGAGACTTACGTGGACTTCTCAAACACGTGGATTTCCGAAGCACATGGATTCTCGATCCTGGTTGACTATTGGAATAAATTAGCAAAACCAATTATTTGCTATTTTCTAACAAATTATAAAATTAAGTAAGCAAGATTTTTAAACATCAAAGATGGCTTTGAAATTCCTGCTTGCTTGATTTTAAAATCTATTAAAAAACAGTACAAATAATCGATTCTACTGACTTACTTCGATAGACAACTAGCTTCGATCTATATACGAGTTTGCACAAAATGACAATGTAACACATATTAAATATCTAACAGCTCGCTTGGAACTATATCGATTTTCCGCTTTTGCAAATATATTATGCACTAACATATCTTTACTAATACATAAATTTATTAAAATTTATAAGAGATATCATTATAAAATAACTTTTTTCTAACCACGTGTTTTCAAACTATCTACTAAACTACGCTATTAATGCACTACTATCAATTAAAAAAAAAAATAAATATCAATATTAATATAAATTATGAATATCAATTGAAAAAAATGCAGAACATCAAGTTTCGAAAAACTGCTGTAAAAATTATTGTAATAATATGTATTTAAGTTTTTTATACCATGGTATAGTTTGAAGCCGAACAAGAAATCTTGCTTGTGCTGAACAAGTAGGTAGCTGAACGGCGTAAGTACGCGGCCGGTCTTACGCCGTTTCGTTTCGCCCCTTAAACTTGGCACGAGACATTACATCTCTTGATACTAACGGATGTTATAAGCTGAACGCAACACACTGAACTGAATGCAGAATAAGCAGCGATCAGAAGATTCTAAAGTTCATATATGCTACATCGGAGATTCTAACTGGTTGCTCAATAGAAATTGGAGGCTTTAGGAGAGCCAATCGACAGTCTGAGTTCCCACACCCGGGTGTATTTTATTACTAGAAGTGCTGTAATATATGTAACATATACTAGAGAGTTCTAGTAATAAAATGCCCGGATGAAGAATCTGAACGCATCCTAAACTGCGTTCTGAAGTTCACTGCCAGTATTGAAAATTTATAGTTCATGTTAGGTATACTACAGAATTTCAGCACTGGCAATGAATTTCGGAACGCAGCCTTAAGCCAGGTACAGACTTGTTGCGTATCCTCGTAACGTATCATCGTAACGTTACAAACGTTAATACGATACGGTGTAACGCGACCAAATTTGCTTCCCATGTCATCATGGCGTATATGTAATATCCATACGTATCATCGTGAGTTTCCCAGTTTGTTATACGAATATCCCAGATACGCAACAAGTCTGTACCCGGTTTTAGCGTGTCAAGCGTCGTGTCGTCCGTCGTGTCACGATTTAAATTAATCAAATCGTCCCATTTTATTGCGTAATTTTACGACGTTGACTAATAAAATTATAAATATTCTAATAAATTCGCTCACTTTTTGCATTTTCACTTTTCATTCGCATACCGTCAAGAATCAAGCCCCTGATGAGTGATAAAATGTATGAAGAAATATAGTATATGTACAATAATGCTTTCTAATGAATACTAGTTAACGAATACTAGAGAAATACACGGATTATTGAAAAGTGGTTAGTATTAATTTAATAACATATAATATGTAACTTCACGGTTTCAACTATTTACTTCATTAACCTTATTAATAAATTGCTTGCTTTCCAACAAGAGACACAAGTCGACACAAACATCATTCTATCTTTGTTCCACATTTAGTGAGTAACAAAGATAGAATGATACTTGTGTCGACTTGTGTCTCTTGTTGGAAACCAACCATTATACAATATATTTTACAGACCCAATATTTTTTTAAGACTACATAAAGAAAATATCGTCATCTAATAATGTCAGAATTATTGCGTTGTATCTATCCATTACTGATTTATCAGTATTTTGCAGAAGTAGAAGTTTATGTTTTCGCTCTACAATTACGCTCTACAATTTCGCTCTACAATACTTCACGAATGCACAGATCGCACTATCCAATAGGTTCAGGACATAGACTTATATATAGACTGCTGATTTGCGTGAGAAAGTTATTGTGTGAGAAAATTAGAAAGAGAAAGATGTCTCGTATTAGATATACGATATTCCATAACAGGCATAACTGCTACGTCACTCTATGTATATGCAGAAAGTCTCCTTTCGCGAAAAAATGTCCCAACAGCACTGCATGTGCGCCGTTACCTCTCTTTTCTCTTATTTGATAACAAGGGATCACATACATATATCTTCTCTCAATTCGTTTGACTTGCATCTTCCTCTTCGCGAGTGACTATCCTTTTTTTTCGTTTTTCTCTGTTCCGACTCTCTCCTGAACTCTTTTATACTGTCTGTGTATAAGAAAATAGAAAGATACTTAATAATAAACTAATAACTAAATAAATGTTTATATATACGCACAAGCAGCGAAAGAAAAATGAGATACAATCACTGACTTATCTAAATGCTTTATTAATCAATACATATATTTAACATAAAAATTAAATCAAAATTAAGAAAACTAATATCAATAAAGATTAAATGTGGTGACAAAAAAAATATATATAAATCTATTCCTTTTAACATTTACTGAAAGATTATATAAATGAAGAATATGAATGTAGGATACCGAAGTTAGGC